CACCAACATCCACCCACACCCACACCCACACCAACATCCACCCACACTCACACCAACATCCACCCACACCCACCCACCCTTAATACCTTTGGATAAGTGGACTGATGGTTTAGCATTTGATTCTTTGCAGAAAATAATAATAATTATTTATTATTATGATTATTATACTCATACACTCACACCAATACTGAAAGCGGTTCAAAGAACAGGTGCTTTTGACAAAAAAAGCATAACAAAAAATATTTAAAAGCTGTTTCAAGAGAAATTCGACCTTATACTCTCCATTCATGGTAATATTCTTTTTACTTAATATATTCATCCATCGAAAATGCTAACGTACGAAGATAATTTTTCTGTAATGCCGTTTTTCCCATATATATAATAATAATGAGAGAATCAAAAGAATTATAAATATGATAAATAAACCACTCGTTGATTCAATACCCATACTAGTAGATACATCAGGTGAATCTGAACAAGCACTACCTTGAAACCACTTTTTTCTTAAATTATCAAGTTCACCTGATTCTCTTAATGATAATATATTAAAATCCAAAGCTTCTTCGTATAACCATTGTTTAGGCATAGCAATACCAAATATACTTTGATCAAAACCTGTACCAACTATAGTTAAATTACAATAAATAGTCGACGTTGCATATTCTAAAACCCCGCCATCCATAACAGCTACATCTATGATATTATTTAACAAACTAGTATATATATCCTTTTCCTTCATTAATGGATAAAAATTTCTAATTCCTCCCGAGATTTCTCGTAAATAATAATCTTCAATCGATGAATTAATAACAATACCAACACGACTATATGATACCTTTCCATTTTTAATATCATCAATTCCTGAAACAATATCTTTTGTTTTTAAAGCCGTTAAATTAGATGCTAAGTTTGCCGTATATGTTGCTATTATGACCAAACTTAACATATATAAACTAGCCGTTATTAAACGTCCAGCAGCCGTTCTTACGTCAAAATCTACACCATATCCAACCACATTACCAAAACAGTACCAAATGCTCATGGCAATTGAACCAATAATTGATCTATTTTGTAACGCTTCATTGTCTTGTCGTTTATATAAACAGATTAAAAAACCGGTGCAAATAGTAGCTGCTAAGAGAACCATCCATACTTTCACTGATAATGGTTTTAAAAATGCCATCAAATTTGTACTTTCTGCAAGTCTTTTTCGAGTAATAACACGTAATGAATTATCAAATGTTGAACTCGAAAAACTGACTCTTTCACTTCGTGCTGATGTAACTGTCAAATCTGCTACAACTATATCAAAAACACCATTAGCTACTGCATCAACTAAACTATTATAAGTGGAATTTGCTGGTACTACTGTAATCTGTGGAATAAATTCCATCTTATTGACTAAAAGATCAATAAGATCCGGTATAAAACCAATTCTTTTTGTATAATTTCGTCCAGAATTATCGATAATATTTTGTGTCATTGTAAATGGATGTACTTCAAAAACCCCAATTTTTAACTTAACGTTTGATATAGATGGATAACCAGTCGGAGGGATTAATGTATTTCCAGGCCATAAGATAACACTCGTGTCTGTATATTTTTTCCAACTATTAGAATTAGACCATACTAATACTGGAATAGCTTCTATGCCATCAGTAACATATTGAACGTTTTTTGCTACATAATAAATTCCATATTTTCGATCTGTAACATTAACAGAAAATTGTACAAGACCAGATACACCGAGAAATACAGTTGCACTTAGGGCATTAATAAATTCATTTCCATTAATAAAATAACGATCAAAACAAAATGAAGAATCAGCAATTGATATACATGATGGAGAATTATTTGAAATTGTAGAGCAATATTTTTGTAATGCTTGGATAAATGACCAAGTTGCATCGAATGCAAAGAGTGCATAATAATCTACCTTTGCTATTTCAGGAAATGATTCAGATTCATATTGTTGCCAGATAGCATAGGCTGCATTTAATAATACATCATTTATAGGCGCATTCACCACACTTCCTGTTACGGGTTCAACAGTCAATATTCCAATTAATTTTTCCTGTGACGTCACATTAAAAGAAGAAAATACAATACTGCTGCTTAATATCCATGTAAATCGTGGACCAAGTACATCAGCTTCAAGTGCATTTTGTAATATTAGATTTGTATAATCTACAATAGCCCATATTATAACAATTCGTGATGCACTAGTAAGTAAAATAGTCTGTAAATCACCCCGAATACTTAGTGAAATAATATCGAAAATAATCATTTGGCTCACTGCTAAACTATTATCATTAAAAGCTTCATTAATTATTTTCGCACCACCAGATCCAAAAGCATCATTTTGGTAAATAATTATGCATGATGTCCAATTATATCGAGTAAATAGTTCTACCATTGCTAATGCAGCTGCACTGTCGGATGAAACGGTACGATAAAAAGTAGGATACGTACTTCGATCCGATAAATCAGGATTAGTAGCAGAATAAGATATCACAGGAATATTGATACTTTCACCAAATGCAGCAATAACCTCTGCTTCACGTGAATATGCAGGACCCACAATACCAACAATATTTGAATTAGGGATTTCTCGACAAGTGCTACTAAGACCACCCATTATATTACCAGCAGTTTGTACTACTTTCCATCCAATATATTTTCCATCAATTGTGATATTGTATTGTTGGGAAAGAAGTATTGCTGCTTTGAACATGGCTTCAGAATGAACAGACAATGTGGTCGGTTTAGATGTGTTTGATGCGTCTGGAAAAAGGCCTAAAAGCTGTATAGTTGAAACGTTTGATGATGGCCAAGCTGCTTCTACATGCTCGAAATTAAGTTGCCACAATATAAAGTGGAAAAATAACCATTGAAAATTGGTCGTATATAACATCGATGCTTGATTAGAGTAAAATCTGAATTATAAATAAAATTATTAGAAAAAAGAATCCTGACGTCTCTTTAAGATTTAATAGAATTCTCAAGTCTCTTTTTAACGAATAAAATTGAATATTATAGAAAAACATGATCTTTTTCAAGCAGAAAAGCCTTCAATAAAATTAAAACATTTTATGTATTCTCTCTCTACATTCTGAATAGGGGACAGTTATTTATGAATCTACATCTCATTTTTAGTGCAAACTGTAATTTACGTCACTTCGATGATTTAATCATTTCTCTTACTTTATTTTAAATAGAACATTAGGCAAATGCATTTTTTTAAATTAAAAATGTTCAAGTTTAACTCAAACTCAAAACTTGCTATTTTCAAAGAGGACTAAATATTTTTATATGAACATACGATACAAAAATCTCGTACAAAATATGGAAGTTTTCATGAGTTCCTATGTTCACACAAACCGAAAATATTATTTAGAAATACTTAGTTGAACATTTGTTACATCAAATTTTTCAGATAAAATATTTTTTATACGATTGTGAGAAAGTGTTTCTGCGTAATAAAATAACTATAGATGAAAAATTTTCATCTTATGTTTAATTACTAGAATGAGCGACGCAGATGTATAGCGTCAATGAATTTCCTAGATTGTCTTTTTCTTTCCTAATGAATATATAATAATGTACGATCGTACTCATATGGTATACTTTTTTTTCTCGAGCATTTGCAGTGAATTCGTAGAAAATAAAGAAAAGAGTTGTTACAATGTATACACCTCGATTCTATATTCTCTCTTTTTATTCTTTTCATTCATGTGATAGATGTTGTTAGCGTTTGTCTTTGTGGATCTACGCTAAGCTCGTTCTCTTTCTTTTAAAATATATATGTGTGTGTGTATGTGTGTACTTGTACACGATCTTTTATTATCCGTTAAAAATGATGAAAAACAAGTACATATATAGTGAACGAGAAAAAGAAAAGAGAGAGAGAGAGAGAGAGAGAGAGAGAAAAGAAAGAGAACAAAGACTAGAAATATGGATAACAAAGAAGAAGACTAGATATACCACTGAGAAAGAAATAAGAAAAGACATGAAAAATACAATAAAAATGAAAAATAGATGGCGAGTTGTATCAGTGCGACATCACTGTAACATACTCCCCTACCCAGGTCGAGCAATCTGATAGTAGGATCCGATAGGTTCCGTCTCGGATCCTATCGGATTCCTACGAAATTCGACCGGATTCTATCGGATTTACCCGGAAAACCGGTTGCGGAAATGTGACGGAATCCCTGGTATCGGCAGTCCTATCGGATCCTACTGTCGACATCCGATCGGAAGCTATCGGAAAGGAACCGATCGGAAACCACTTTCGGCAACCAACATTAACCTTAGTAACGCAATCCGATCGGTTCCCACTGTTGATAACCCATCAAATACCATATTCAAGACCATCAAAACATCTGAACACACAATAAATAATGCACGCAAATGCAAAATAACAATCTTCAATACACAAAATCATCCCAGGACGATGTTTCCGGCCTGCAGATCCCGCCGGATCCGGATTTCATGAGGATTTTTCTTGCTTACTACAAGGACAACACCTAGTCATGTTCGGGCCGATCCTATGGTTATCGAGGACGCTCTATCGAATGAGGGGTATATGTATGGGGCCCCTCCTTATCTATAGCTGAGAACTA